CTTGGGTAGAGAATGCTGAGCCCCCGCATTTTACTTTTTCTCGAAGTGTGGTCTCTTCCCCGGAAAACACTTCCACCATCTGCGAAATAATAACAAGTAAAACGAAAGCCTTGTCTCCCACTCCCGATTTCACTCTCCCTGTTTCCAAAAGTTGTTCTCACGTGGCTTCTTCTAAAGGGTGAAAAATAAACGCACGTTCCCAGAACGACTGAGAGCGGGCACCGCCGGGAGCTGGTGCGCGCGCTGAAGCGCGAACGCAGTTTTCCAACAACCTCGTATCCGCAACCCCGGCGCTTCCGCCCAGGAGGGGTCTCCCGAGCTAGAGGTCTGCTGTGGTGGTGTGCTAGGCTGATGGAGGGAGCGGGTAAACGGGGCATAGGAGAAGACTTGTCAGAGAAACACGCCTTTTAAAATAAAATACCAAATTGGTCTAGAGATGCTCGTAGTTGAAAATCTACAGCTGTCATTTCATGGAAAAGGGTCACGGAGGTGGCTGCTGGCCCGGAACTGCGGCGTTCAAAGCTCAGAGCCCCACCGATCTGGGCTGAAATAGAAGGGGCTTCTTTTTCCCCCACAGAGCGCGTGAAGAAAGTGACATCTTGCTGGTTTGGGGATGATTTATTCACTCGTGCTGTATAAACCTAAGATGACGCCCAACTATAGGGACCCATGTGACCCAGGGCTGCCCGCACCGGGATCAGGTCGTCCAACCGACCTGCCGAACTGCGCGACGGCTAACTCCAGGGAGAGGCGGCCCCGAGCGTGGGAAAGGGCTTCATCCGTGACAGGAGCAGTGCGTCAGTGAGTCACTGTTTTCCAGACTTGGGGGTCTGGAGCCCCAATGAGCACTGGCAGCCTGGAGCCTCCGCCTTTCCAGGCCTGTCTCCTGGCACTTCAAACGCGAAGTCGTCCTTTGCCTCAAAGAGGGCAGGCGGCGCTGGACAGTCCGTTTCTCAAACATTCCAAGAGAAGGCGGCCACCCAGGCCTCTGCCCGGGCAAGTAAAATGAACAGGATTCATCACCTCTTCTCAGGCCTTGACATTTGGCTTTGGGGACTCAATGATCTCCCTTGATCCTGGATTTTACTTTCCCTTTTAAAGAGAAAAGAATCCCAGGCTACCCTTAAAATGCTGTGTTTTATTGGCTCCCCTCTTGAATGGAGATCACTGAGGCCCAAATTTAGAGTGCCAGCTCCGGCTCCAGAGTCCCGGGGTGACGCTGCGTCAGAAAACTTTTGGCGCCGGGGCTGTTGCAGACACCGAGACTCAGGGATCTGATATTGTTGTGGTGCGAATTCCAATGGGAGTACCCTAGAAAATGCTCCCGCTCTCCTGCGCGTGGTTCTGGCGAGAAGCGGTTGGCAGAGCCGAGCCGGGAGAGCGTGGCTGGCGGGTTGGGCTGACAGTCCCTTCGCGCCGCGTTTACACCTCTCCCTTTGTGACAAATCGATTTCCCGCGCCGCTGTTCCGCATTTGCCTCCCGCCGCGGCCCGGGCCCAGCTGTGCCCGGCGCGCACTTAGCACCGGCCTGTGAGGGTGTGCGTGTGCGCGCGCGTGTCTAATTGACTTTCCGTCTACCTTTTTATGACTACATGTGTTTCCAACAAAAGGTCTTATTAGGACAATCTGGTTTCACTAATTTAGAGGTTGGGAAAGTGGAAGGCTGGCACTTTTTTTTCCCTAAGAGTTTGCAGAAGTTCAGATTAAGAAGTGACAGCGGGGTGGATGCTCTGTCCTCCTAGGAGTGAGTCTGCCTGTTTTTATGACCTGTTCCTCCTTCCTCTCCCCTACTACACCGGTTCCACCAGAACCCCCTTCACACTCCACACTTCCTTATCATCACTGGATTCCAAACTGTTAAAGAACGGTTTCTTCAAACACCTAACGAGCTGGAACCCAGAAGTTTGAGGAATGTGTCCACGTGGGAGAATTAGTAAATGGGGAAAGAAGTCGTTCTCTAGAAAGGAAAGTGCAGCGAGTATCAAAGGCCCGGGAAATAAGTCACTGGTGGGGAGGAGACAGCCAGGAGCCCACACTTTGGACAATACCTGCACCCCCTCTAGCTACACTCGGCCCAGTTTGTCATGCAAAATTTTGCAACACAAATAATCTAATATTGAAAAATGTCAGTGGTGTTTGTTTCGCTGATTTTGGTTGAAAAAATTTTTAGAAAGGACAGGGAAAAGAGTTGTTTCTCCATAGCTGGAAGAGTCAGAGGTTTCTTTTTAATGTTCACCCTCTCTTCACAGGAGATAACGTGTTTCCCCCCACGCTGTGGAGTAGACTAGACTTCCAGGGTGGTGAGGAGCTGGACTCCAGTTCCCCCTCATTCCTCTCATGGGAGCCTGCTCTGCCTCCCCCCCCCCACTCCCCTGTTCCCTGTTCAGTCTGAACCTCCCTGTCACGCCAGCAGTCGTGACGTCCAAGCAAGTCTCAACAGCTTTCTGGCGATTCTTGGTGGGAGCCCAGTAACCAAGGAGGAAGGGCCCCTGGGCCTTTGTTGTCACTTAATTTATCAGGCCCTTGCATTCTCATCAGGGAGAAGGCAAGAGGATGAAGAAACACTGCCTCTAACGGCAACAAACTATTTGTAAAAAGAATAGCCCCCTGGTTTTCTCTCAGGGAACAGGCCTGGGGTGTGTGTGTGTGTGTGTGTGTGTGTGTGTGTGTGTGTGTTCTCCACTACTGTCCTACATCTAGGCGCCAGTCACTTCATCCCCAGGCCCTCGTTCTGCATTCTGAGATCTCTTCCCAAAGCTGTCTGTTGGCCAGGTTCCCCAGCACAGCCTCTCTCTGGCTGGTCTCAGTTTCCTTTCAGAGTCCTCTCCCACAAGGCCCCTCTACTCATTGTAACTCAGAGATGGGCTCCAGTATCAAGCAGATGGGTTTTTAAAGTCTGGTCCCCTCCTCCCAGCAACTCCGGAATTAGGGAACTCCACCAGCAACTTCGAGTTTGGAGCGACCATGAGTATGCCACGTGCTAAGGCGCCAGAACCGGGTCTCACAAGCACGGTCCCCAGTCCCTAGCGGCCTCCCAGGCACCACACGCTGCCTGCGACTCTACCAGGGCCCTCCACAGCCGGCTGCCTCGGCCCAGGCCTGCTCCATGCCCACCGGAAGGCCACAACTGGCCCTGGGCTCACTTCTCGCGGTGTCCACTCGAGTCAGACGACTGGTGCCACCTGCGTCCCTCCATCCCTTCGTAGCCCCTCGCCCCAAGGCCATCTGGGGCCCAGGGCTGGTGGAGGCCACGGGCCTCGGCCCAGCATTTCTTGATCTCCTGCCTCCTTCGGGGCACAGTCACAGGGTCCCACCTCTCCCGCCCCACCCTGGTCTTCTATACATAAGTATCTTCCAGGCCCCGTTTTTTGTGTTGTGATCCAGCCTCTAGTTCTCAGTAGTGACAACTGTTTGGACTATGAAGAAGCAAACAGAACGGCCCAACGTGCCCACCTGATGGAGCTAGGGTTCCGAATGTTATCTTTGCCCTACTTTTTGTACATTTCACATTTTCCCTAGTAAAACATTTAAGCATTAGCATAGTATTTTGCAGTACATTTTGTTGGAGCTAAAGGGTGCCTCGGCACACGCTTGGCGCACGCTGCCTGCGTTGTGGCAGGGACAGTTCCTAAGCACCGACACTGGACGCCTCTGCCTCTGAGCGGCCTTAGCCCAGGACTCGGTTCCCCAGCTCTCCATTGCTTAGCGGTGGCCGCCTTTCTCTAGCGGAAGGCCAGGCCGGACCTCCGCCCCCTTCCCTGCAGCCGTCTGCGAGTCGCAGGGTGGAGTGAACCCGGGCCGCCTTGGGCTGACAACACCGGGGGGCGGCCGTGTCCCCGAGAGCCACCAAGGCTCTTCTGCCTTCTGGGCTCAGCCCACCGGCTCCCGCAGCTGTGCCCGGGCCCTGCTTCCCGTGGCTTCTGCTCCAGTCTGCTTTCTATGCTTACTTTTGAGAGTCTGGTTGGTGAAAATCATAGAATGCTGGAGGGCCCCCAGGTTCCACGGGATCCAAAATTGAAGACAATATGGTAATCGGCAAATAATGACATGGAAAGCGATCAGCCTCATTTCAGAACTTCCAGTTAAGTTCAGACTCTCGCATTTTCGAGAAAGAGGGAATATCTGTGTGTGTGTCGGACCTCCCCCCCCCCACACCGTCACCCGGGCTAAGCCAAGTGACAGATCTGTTACAGACACAGGGACATCGGGACGCACCTGCTGTCGGGTTTTAAGGCACCGTTAATAATGCGAGGTGAGATTGTCCTGGGGGCGAATCGGTCGGTGAGGACGGGGAAGGGAGGCTGCGCGGACTCTTCTGGAGGTTTGGGAGCCTGCAGGGAAAGCTCCTGGCATGTGACACCGGGCTCGGCGCTGAAGCCCACGCTTCACCGAGGTAGCGCTCCCGTGCGGGGTCTTGCGGGGCGGGATCTCGGGTTCCCGCCCCTGCAGGCCCTTCCCTGGGCTTGGCCTGAGTCGGCCCGAGTCGGCCGGGCCTCTGACTCAGCTGGAGTCTCCAACTCTTGGCGGTGGAGGCGACAGCACCGGGCTGTGAGCAGCTCCGCCGCCCCGTCAGACG